CCCTTTCATTTCTGGACTCCCATCTAATTTAAATGGTTTTGGTGTTTACTAGGGGCAAATTTTAACCCTTTACTTAAAACATTCACTTGATCCTTCGTTAACTCCATATTACTTAAGTTATAAATCCCCATTTCCTTAATATTCACATGATTAATTAGTTCCTTTGCCAAAGATTTTATTTCCTTTCTCTCCTGTCTTTTTTTGATTGATTTACCTCCTCTTCTTCCTCTTGTGTCAAATCTCTTCGTCTTTTGGAATGTGAGGGTTGGTTGTATTCTTGTTCTATTTTGTGCCTCTCTATCTGGCGGCTCCTCCAAAAATCCTGTTCCGGTGCTTGTTCATCCAAAACTTGATAATGATTCCGGACTCTCAAAGGTTCTTGGATGGGTAGTAAATGCCTATCTCATTCTTTTCCATATTCCTGTTTCTCTCTATTTCGCATTTCAATAGAATCTCGATTATGGGGTCGATACTCCTCTCTCTCTCTTCTGTGCTCATATTCATCTTTATATCTATACGGACGGCTCCTATCTTTGTCCTCATAAGCTTTATGTTCCTTCTGATATTGCACATACCTACGTCTTTCCCTATATGGTGACACCCAAGGTTTATATCTATACCCCCTCTCCTGATCTCTAGAACCATAAGGATTACGAACCTCTCTATTATTGCCCCTATGTATATAGTTCCCTCTATGTCTTTTTGATGGCATCAAGTCTCTTTGCTCATATCTAAATTTATGGGGGGGTGTAGCTCCTTCTCATGGACTTACAAAATGTCTATGCACAAACTCACCAACAACAAAACCAAAAAGAGAATTGAATGACCACTAGATGAATGAGCATTTAGAAAATTGAAAAAAAAAGTATGATATTAAAATATATAATCAAATATATATATCAGATATATCAAATTTCAGTGGACCCTTGGAAGCTGAGGAAGATAAAGTCAGAAGAATTGTTAAACATTGTTTAAAATGAGATCCCAACAATGGTTCCATCGTACTCCCTCAAGCAGACTGTGTGGTCAACATCTGGTACTTTGACACCGCCTGTAAAGATCATGCCAGTTATCGCAAGAGCTTTCGACAATTCTTATCACTGTTGAAAGTGGGAAGTCATCTCATTCTGATTAAACTTTTCAATGCGACTTATTATACAATTGGTGATCACAGGTTTTCCATGCAAACCTATAATGAAGATGTTGTGAAGAAAGCTCTCCAAGACAATGGGTATACCACTTAAATTTTTGAAGTATATAAAAGTGTACTAAACACTCACTTAGTGGATTATGAACAGATTGAATATGTTGTAGCTCGTAAGGAAAGAGAGAATTAACCAAATTAATTCTTAAATTTACAGTTGTAAAAAATTATTTGAAAAAAAATGTTTTAAAAAAATTCTGCTTTGTAATGTTTTATTAATTGTTTTTGATTTCTAAATGGACTCTCCAGACCTCTAAAGCACTTCAGTTTGCTGAAATGTTTTAGATCAGGGTCGCCCAAAAGGTAGATCCCAAGATGTTTTAAAACTACAACTTCCATGATGCTTTGCCATTCAAAAGACATGCAAAAGCATGCAAACAATCAATAGAGTTGTAGTTCTGCAACATCTGGGGAATCCCTGTTTTAGAGGAAAAGAGGATGATTTAGGATAAGATAATTGTCAATGGAAATCAACAATCTCCAATGCTGCATAAATTAAAACTGTTTTTATCGCTGGAATGTTCCAATAAAATATCTTTAATTTTGAATACCTAGCTTTGGCAGTAATGGAACATTTATGTAATAGAAAGCACCATATCAACAGATTTCCAGGTCAGATGCAATGATGTAGGACACTGAGTGGGCCAAGCGTCCGAAGGTTAGGTTGGAAGTGGTGATTGCATGGATCTATACAGCAATACATTCACAGGTCTCCCTACCAAAGAGGAATGCAGCTTCAGATGGCAGCTTTACATGGCAGAAATGAATCAGACCTTTGCTGGTAAGACTGTGAGGCTGGAAGTAGAAGGACACACTTGAGGAATTTAATAACCCATTTGCTTTGAATTCCTACCGATACAACAAGAAGCTGGAAACCGAAGGGTCATGGAACGCATTTTTAACAGCTTAGGAAGATACTGCCAAAGATAAGTACTGCTTTATTAGTGTGGAAAGACTGTTTGGCCTTTTTTTTTCCTTTTCTGCTCTGGGCACATACAGAGCTGTTATATTATCGCTAAGAATGTGGCCATATTACCAAGAAGAGTAGACAGCTGTGTGTGAGACTGTTTAAAATGGTCTGGAAGAGACCAGAGTCAAGTTGTAAGAGACTTAAAGGTTGGAAAAAGAGAACATTCTGTAAAAATTGGGGATTTCGACCATGGCTTATGAGTTTTAATTTCGCAAAGCTGTTTTAAAGGACCACTCTAGGCACCCAGACCACTTCAGCTTAATGAAGTGGTCTGGGTGCCAGGTCCCTCTAGGATTAACCCTTTTTTTAATAAACATAGCAGTTTCAGAGAAACTGCTATGTTTATGTTAGGGTTAATCCAGCCTCTAAATCCTGTAGTGGCTGTCTCATTTTCGCAAAGCTGTTTTAAAGGACCACTCTAGGCACCCAGACCACTTCAGCTTAATGAAGTGGTCTGGGTGCCAGGTCCCTCTAGGATTAACCCTTTTTTTAATAAACATAGCAGTTTCAGAGAAACTGCTATGTTTATGTTAGGGTTAATCCAGCCTCCAAATCCTCTAGTGGCTGTCTCATTGACAGCCGCTAGAGGCGCTTGCGTGATTCTCACTGTGAAAATCACAGTGAGAAGACGCAAGCGTCCATAGGAAAGCATTGTAAATGCTTTCCTATGAGACCGGCTGAATGCGCGTGCAGCTCCTACCGCGCGTGCGCATTCAGCCGAAGAGGAGGATCGGAGGCGGAGAGGAGAGCTCCCTGCCCGGTGCTGGAGAAAAGGTACATTTTAACCCTTTCCTTGCCATCCAGCCAGACGGGAGGCACCCTCAGGGCACGAGTATGTTTTCCTGGCACTATAATGGTCCTTTAAGAGATAAACAATTCTGCCAGGCATTGACAGTGCCAACTGCTTTCCTAGGTTGGACTTCAGGAGTGACATTACATCTGCCAGTGCAGTGAATGTGAGAAAAAAACAAAACTATACATTAAATTTACTGGTACTATCAGTAGTACCCTGCTATGACCTACCGGTGTGATCTTTATAGTAACGACAGCTTAAGCTAGATAAAAACCTTCTATAATGCAAACAGCTGATGAGGACTGAATACGTGTAAAAAGTGTCTGGAAGAGGGATATTGCATAAGTGAATTGTGTTAATACATCGGAAGTAATGTGGCAAGTGATAGTTATAAATACAGGCTGACAAAGAAGGATAACTTGTGAGTATTTGCGATTTGGGTTATGAACTACTGAGTTGCTATAAAATATAAACATTGCTGCTGAAAAGCACAGTTGATGGCTCCCTACGTTAGCTGAACAGATTACAAATTGCAGGTGATTGTACCAGACCAAAAACAGGGGTGGGAATAAGAAAAGAAAGGAAAATAAATCTACACATTAAATTAACTAACACTGATAGCGATATCAAATCTTGATTTAAAGTTTAATTGTGGATACAGCCCAGCTGAAGGCAATACAAGCCTGGTAGATCCCAAAGTGGCAGTTGATGGGTAAAACTGTGTAATCTGTGTTAAACAGCAGTGCTTGTTCTGCTACGTCTTTACAAGTTCATTTTGGAACAGACAAAATACAGCTGTTAAGAATTAAAAGCTCATTGGGTTGTATTTCCTATAAAGTAAGTCCAAAACTGATTAGGATGAATAAAAAAGGATCAGATCATAAACTCCCTCCAAAAAAGGAAAGAAAAATAATCCCAGGATGAAGAAAGATGGGAAATTGATACCTTGTTCTTCCCTCAGATTGGGAAAATTCCAAAACGTTTGGAGAAATCAGTGGCATATGAGCCAAGTCTGGATATGTCAGAACCGGAGGTTACTAAACATTGCATTTTTTTTTAAATCAAAAAGTGATACCATATTGGCAGAAAATCACTGTGAAAATCACAGTGAGAAGACGCAAGCATCCATAGGAAAGCATTGTAAATGCTTTCCTATGAGACCGGCTGAATGCGCACGCAGTTCCTGCCGCGCATGCGCATTCAGACGAAGAGGAGGACCGGAGGAGGAGAGAAGGAGGAGAGCTCCCCGCCTGGTGCTGGAAAAGAAAGGTAAGTTTTAACCCTTTCCTCTCCCCAGAGCCAGGCGGGAGGGGGACCCTGAGGGTGGGGGCACCCTCAGGGCACTATAGTGCCAGGAAAACGAGTATGTTTTCCTGGCACTATAGTGGTCCTTTAATCCAGAGAGGAGCTACGAATAAGATAGTTCCTTCGTTCCAACTTAAATGGACGCAAGGTCTGAACATTCAAATGATCAAGGATGATTGGTCATTTGTGTTCAAAAAAGCTACTAGATGGTATAAGACCCCAGACCGACTTAATAAATACGGCCTATCAGCCACAGATTGCTGCTGGAGATGCGGAGAGAGGGGGCGAATATCTTGCTATTGAGCGAATTCCTTATAGTCAGATTACTATTAAAACACGCTAATGTTTCACTTTGGGTATATGGGTTATAAATGTGAAAAGTAAATTGGCAGAATTATCCCCTTCCCTCTTTCCTTCCTTTGTGTTTTTTTTCTTTTACCTTTTTCTTTCCCCTTTATTTTTTTTTTCTTTTCCTTTTATTTTTTATTTTTTGTGTATATACTTTTTCTTTTTGCAGTAATAGGAGAGTTAAGGTACATATGATGATATGGGACCTGATAATACTACTCGGAAATGACTTAAAGCAGTCCCACTATCTGCTGCAGATAAACAAAAAAACATTGCATGGACAGCTCCAGAGAAGGGGAGTCACAGGCTATCACGCAAGAACATCTCCAGGCTTGTTTGAATAACCAAATTGAATAACCATTTTTTTGCATAAATTTAAGGTGGACACGATACAAATAAAAGAAAGAGTGTTCAGGATAGAAGAAAAATTGGAGCATAATGAAATGACACAGATTGACTCCACCAAAACGGAAACTCTGGCCTGCATGCAAAAGAAAATTACTTCTCTGGAATTAAAAATGAATGACATGGAGGATAAAGCCAGGCGGAAGAACCTACAAATCAGAGGTATTCCTGAGAGTAAAACTAGAGAAAAACTGGTGGAATACCTTATTGAACTCTTCAATCAAATAGGAATTCAAGAAGAAATAAGATCAGCAAACACTGAATGGGTGCACAGACTTATCAAACCTAGTGGTATAGCTGAGGCACATCCCAGGGATGTGATTATCAGATTTGCCATGTATGGGGTTAAACAAAAAATCGTGGAAGCTGCAAGATCATTAGGACCTAATGACCAGAGGCTTAAAACCCTTACTTTTTCTCGGGACATGTCATGTAAGACATCCCAGAGAAGAAGATCATTTAAACCAGCATTGGACAGACTGAAAGATAAATAAATTAAGTATTGGTGGGGATATCTCTTGGAATTGTGCATTGTAGTCAATGAAGTTATACGTACTTTTGATAATATTAAGTAAGCTCTAGATTGGCTAGATAAGGTAGAGTAGTACAGTTTTCTTGGTGGTAGGAGAAGAAGGAGGAATGAGAGGGATGAGAGTAGTGAAGAATGGAAATTGATTTTTTTTACTTTCTCCATGGAGGGGATTGTTTTCATATAGGTACCTAATCTGCTTTCATTTCATCAGTAAGAATTTGTAATAGTCATAGAGGAGGAAGGAAGGAAAGGGAAAGAGAGAGGGAAATATTGTGTAAGGATACACAGGGTATCACTCAAGAATTAGATGGATGTTTTAAAGAGAGAGCCTTAAAAGGGTCACATAGAGGGGAGGGAATCTGATGACTGGCATTATTTAAGCAAAGGTAGATATGATAACACCAAGAATAGGACACTTGGTGTGTGGAGTGCATGTCGTTTTTTTATAAATATATAAAAAAGGAAATAAATATGTATGAATAGACTACTAGGGGAATTTTTTATGTAAGAAAGCACCTAAATGTACCTAAACTGAATCAGGATTGGGTTAAACAATGTAGAAATCAGAATTATGTAGGAAGAATATAAAGGGTAATGGGATTGTTGGTCCTTAATATAAAGAGGGTATTGTATGCACTAGAAATAAACTTTCTGGTAGTTAAAAAATAGTAAAAAATTTATATGGAATATAGAGAATACACCTTTTTTTCTAAAGGATTCAACTTTTACTCAAGACTTGATATGGTCTTGGTTAGAGACTTTGAGATATAACATTGTAAAAAAAAAATATGATAAACAAAATTTTGTGTTTGGACCATAACCCGATAGTAGTGGAGTTTGAGTCTCAAGGGCTATGAAATAGAACATCATGGAGACTGAATAATGATCTATTGAGGAATAAAGAATTTATTGAAGACCTGAATAAAAATGACTGATCAGTTCTTTACTGAGAATTTAACCGGGGATGTTCCCCTGTCAAGTATTTGGTGCACGTATAAGTGTGTAACAAGGGGGTATTTTATTAGTAGGGCAGCATTCCTTTGGAAACAATCTTGAAAAACAACTTGGCAGAACTCTATATAGAATTGGAAAATATGGTTAGAACTAAAAGCTATAAAACTGATCCCAAATATATTGAAGACCTAGTCTTAATTAAACAGGAAATGAAATGTTAATGCAAAAAGCGAGTAACATTCTTATAAAGAGGAAATAAGCCCGATAAAATGTTAACTGCACAACTTCAGCAACAGAATGTTAAATCTAGAATCTATAAGATCGTTACTAAAAATAAAATTTGTATTTCTCCAGAACAGATTGGTGAGGAATTTAGGTCCTTTTATTCCCAATTATATCATATTGAGGAAGGGCAAAAGAACATTTAGAGAGTATCTTAAAACATAGATCTGAAAAAAATTCCCAAAATACAAAAAACATATGTTGAATCCCCTGTCAAAGATGAGGAAGTAATAAACGTGATCCACTTCTTAAAAAATAACAAAGCACCGGGTCCGGACGGATTCTCAAGCCAATTTTATAACCTCTTAGCACCCACATTGACCCCTCATTTGACTAAAATATTTAACAAAGTTATAGATAGGAGAAGTTTTCGTCAAGAGATGCTGAAGGCAGCAATTGTACCCATCTTAAATCCAGAGAAGGAGCCCACCAATGTTAAGAATTATCATCCTAAATCTTTAATAAATATAGATACAAAAATGTACTCTATTTTGGCCTATAGAATTAAGAATTAAGAGATGCCTAAACTCAATAATTTACTACAATAAGACAGGATTTATACAAGGAAGAGCACCAGGAGATAACACCGGAAAGATAATATATCTGTTTAATTGAGCCACGAGGAATAGAGAACCCATGCTGCTCCTGTCATTAGACGCAGAAAAAGCATTTAACAGGGTCAGCTGGGTTTTCTTGGAGGAGACCCTGCTGGCTATGGGCTTTTGCCCATTAATATTAACCGCTGTAATGTGAATCTATACAAATCCTACACAAATAGTGGGACAGGGAATTGAGTCACCATGTCGCTAAATGCTGATGATATCATGCTAACATTGATTAAACCAATGGAATCAATACCCGCCCTACTCGAAGAAATAAAAAAATATGGTACCCTGTCAAACAGCCTGTATAGCCATGACTCAGGAAGAGCGACTAAGTCTAGAAAAAAGGTACTCTTTTATGTGGTCTCTTTTTTATATTCATATTTATTTATCTCAGAAGATTAGAGGAAAAAGAGAGAATATTTAGTCCAAATAAAAATAGTTAGATAGTTTGGGCAGACTAGATGGGCCAAATGGTTCTTATCTGCCATCACATTCTATGTTCTATGTAATAAAATGTAACTTTTAATGTGTCAATTGGTAAACATATATATATATATATGACCACTAGGTGGCGGTAGAGTATAACCACACAGGAAATGAGATAATTCGGGATTATTGTAGCTTCAGTGACTGAATGATCTAAATTTTATTAAAGACAGGAGGCAAATATTTGCTTTAACCTTTATTACTGAACCTCCCAGCAGCAAAGAAATATTTAAACATAAAGATAAAAAAAATCAACCAATCAGGACACATCTTGGAACATATTAGCCTGTCGAGGTCATGCTGCTTTAATCAACACAGTAAAGGAGGAGACTATATTTAAAAGAAGAAAAACTACCACAACAAGAGGACATAGTCTTAAATTAGAGGGACAAAGGTTTAAAAATAATATCAGGAAGTATTACTTTACTGAGAGGGTAGTGGATGCATGGAATAGCCTTCCAGCTGAAGTGGTAGAGGTTAACACAGTAAAGGAGTTTAAGCATGCGTGGGATAGGCATAAGGCTATCCTGACTATAAGATAAGACTAGGGACTAATGAAAGTATTTAGAAAATTGGGCAGACTAGATGGGCCGAATGGTTCTTATCTGCCGTCACATTCTATGTTTCTGTCAGGCTCCTCCCAACTCCTCTTTCTTGATGCAGCCAATTATTAGTGATAAACCACACAAGTAATATTATGGCGCTGAATTATAAAACAACAATATTTACTAATAAGCAGCACTATATATAGTGAAAAAAACTCAATCGCCTATATTAAGACAATGTAAAAATAAAGTGCGCAGTGCCTTTAAGACTCAACGTAGTTTTAAACAGTGAAAAATCATTTGTGCAATGTTGTGCAGCTAAAGTGATCAAGTGCATCAATGTGCAACACACTTAAATATATAAATATACAAAATGTGCAAACCAAAATATTTCTTTGAGCAACTAATTTTGTGCAAAAAGACAATACTTAGCTTTCCCAATTATGGAATTTGCTTTAAACCTTCTGTCAGCAATCCAATATGTGTCTCAAAAAGAGAAGGGAAATACACAATTATAGGGTAATAAGTTAATAAATAAATGTAAAGAAAATGTGAACTAAAAACACTCACAAGGGTAGAGCAATCAAGTCTGCTCTAAAATGTGTTGGCTTCTTTAGCAATAATATAAGCTGGAAACTGTGGTGAAGTAAAATCCTTTATTGCTTCTTTATAAATCGCTATGTTAGGCAGGTAAGTCCTTCTTTATCTGTTCTCCTCCATATGATGGGTGCTGGTCTGTACAGTCTCTATTTCGGCGCCGGCTATACAGAGTCTCTGTGTACCGAAAAGACTTCCTGATTTCAAACACTTCCGGGAGGCGGGGCTTAACGGCCAGTTAGCGTAATGACGTCAGAGCGTGATGACGCGTTTCGCCGAGAGGTTCAGCTTTATCAGATCAGCTCCTTACACACCACAGTCCCATTATAAGTTCTAAAAAGTGGTGTGTTCGCCCAAATAAGTCCGCGAAAACGGCTTGCTGATAGGTCAGTGTCTGAAAAGCTTCTTTCTTAGACACTGAGTATATCAACCAGAGGAAGGTCTACTAAACTATTTAAAAATTTGGCATAATATAAAGTTACAATCCATGTCTTCATAGAAATATAAATCCTTATAGAAATACATACCAGTATAATAACTATAGACATAGTATTATAAACAAACATATTCACATTTGAATTATGAAATATAATATAGACAACTAATTAAAACAGAGGAATACAAAAAAAAAATTATTCTTAAAAATTTCTGAAAAAGAGAAAAAAAGATATTATGCATAGTGCTAAAATTAAGATATAAAAATATTCTCACATATTATAAAAATTATAAAAAATTCTCACATATTATAAAAATTAAAAAGATCAAATTCTATATTTAACCCATATGGTTCCAATGTTTTTAACCTGTGTACCCATTTCATTTCTTCTCTTCCTATTTTAGAAATGTGGTCTTCTCCTCTAAAGGATTTATTTACTGTTTCTATACCCAAAAACATTAAACCCTTAGGGTCCTTATTATGTTTTAATTTAAAATGTGCTGAAACACTATGCTGTGTGACTCCTTTCAAAATATTATTAACATGCTCCCCTATTCTTTTATGGATTGGACGTATGGTTCTACCCACATATTGTTGTCCGCATGGACAAACTAAAAGATAAACAACATTCCTTGTAAAACATGTAATAAAATTATTAATACTAAATTCATTGCCATTATGTGTACTACTTAGTTTAGTAGTACACATTTAGGGTTCTTTTCTTACTATATTTACATCCAGTGCATTTACCACAAGAATAAAAACCTTTTTTCTCATTCATAAAATGTTTATGTGGATTTTTTCTGAGATAGTTATGAGTTAAAATAAAATTAAGATTTGGTGCAGCCCGATAGGTAATAAAATGTTTTTGCGGTATGATTTTAGCCAATTCTGTATCTTCCCTTAATAATTGCCGATGCTTATTAATTATTTTTTTAATATCTTTATGTGCAATATTAAAATCAAATACAAATGGTATAACATTCTTTTAAGTATTGTTCAGTATCCTGAATAACAATACTGTCCCCTTTGTCCGCAGGTTTAATAATAATTTTCT